ATACTCCACAGACACAAGAAACAGAGGGGGAAAATAAAGAAATAAAAGCAAAACAGCAAAAGAGAAAAAAAGAAATATTATAATAGCCTCAATCCTCAAAGGATGGAAACACTAAAATCGAAAATCTCACTGGTACTTCTTAAAATTAGTTCTCTGGTTGCAATCTGCTTCATTTATTGAGAATCAGATTCTCTTTAACAAAACATTAGTTAATGCAAAGTATCGACATCTGATATTACTTCCAAACTAGCCGAAGAATATTAAAGACCACAAGAAGGAGGAAGATAGATTATTACATAGAATGTCCAGTATCTTGAGTTCCAGGAAATTCCCCATATATCAAGGTCCCAAAAAAGTCACAAAATGCACATCCCAATGTTGAATTTCCAATCACGAACATATCTTTACTAAGAAAAAGTTGCACCATCTTAAGTTTTCAAGTCTTTGAGGAGCTTGATGTTAACATCCTACATGCTACCCATTCTATCCACCTATACAACTGGCAAACGTTCAACTCCCACCACTTCCTGCCTCTTAATCAGAATTGAACATAAACCTTCCAGAATAGAAAATCCAGGACCTGTTATCTCCCAATCCATTTTTCTTGTGTTCTCTTCACTCCCTAATTTCTTAGTAAACTTTGGTTTTACTCTCTTCAACCAAACACAGTAGGTAGGAAAATGCAATTTAATTTCTTTGCTATAATTTTTCTGCTGAAAACTTTATTATCATTAACTTTCAAACAGGAGATTATTATAATTCCCGCTTTACTCTATTTTACCTTTAAAACTTAGTTCACCCCCAAAACTCCCAAACACCTTTTTGAACTCTACAACTGAAAGAAAGAAAAAGCTCTCTTGGTTCCTCTTTTTTTTGAAGGAAAAGAAGAACCTCTTTGGGTTTCTATGAATATCTAATTTGAAAATCTACCCCAGTAATCCTGGAACATGACCAGACTTGATTTACATATCAAAATAGTTCCATTATGGTTGAAACTAGCAAAACTTGTTCAACAACTTAATCTATATATTGAAAAGGTTCCTTTATGGTTAAAGATAAAAAAGTTTATTTTACTGTTTAGCTTGGTATTCCCTTTAGACTTAACCACTGTCTAAGGAATGCAAATATAGGCTTTCAGTTTTTCATAAATATAGCTCGGTATTTCACTTTTTCATAAATATGAAGAGCTTTAGTAATTTTACCCAACAATTGGTTTACTTATTCTCATTCCTTGAACTTCATCAAAACCGCAGAGCAACAAAACATATCATCAAATCTTAATAGCCAACACATAAAAGATAGAGTTGGAGGAAAAGGAATTGACGAGAAATGGGTAATAGTGTAAAATATGCTCCAGTGGAATAAATAAGCAATTTAACATTGCACCTTAAGTAGGGAAAAATATACAAAAGTGCTTACCTTTTCTTACACCAAGTTGATCTAAAAACGGTTCAGACTGTCTAACCAAACATGCCAAAAGTTCAGGTACATCCAGTGGAGGTACTTCCTAAATTAAACACAAACAAGAAAGTAGTAAGCATATTGTATCTCCTATTTATCAAATATTTAAAAACTTTGTTCTACTCACTTAGACATACATTTAGTACCAACTGGAACTGCAACTGGCATATAACAAATAAGTTAAACTTTTAAGTGCAAATAAACTCCATAGAGTGGATATTTAACCTTTGACTCTTGAGCCTCCTTATAAAATGCTTTCTGCAAAGAAAAAAAAACAAACAAATGTGAAAAAATTGATCCAATTACATAAACAAATATGTTAGGAACATAATAAAATAACTACTTCACATAGCTATTGGAAATATTTAGAGAGACATAATGCACTGAGGAAAATTTATTCATAATTTTCTTTTTTTTTTCATAGGTCTGCCATCTATGAGATTTCCTTCATCAAACAAAGTTTTCATCTGGTTAAATGCTTAACATGTAAAGGCATCTATCATTAATGAACGAAAATGTCCATTCTCTGTCCCAAATATGGAAGAACCAGCTAATACAGGTAGAAGGGCACCGAACTCAAACAATTCAAGTGTTAAGAGATTTTATCAAAATAAGAATGTAATCATTGTTTTATTTACTATTAGAAACGTTTAGCTTACATAGGAATTAGTTTTATGGAAAAAGAAATATTATTAAGATGAGAAAGAAAGAAGCATAAATGTGGAGAATAAGACATTCTCCTCGAGTTAGAAAGATTGACATTTACAATACATCATACGAAAGATTAACCACAGTCCTGGTGGGTGGCAGTAATTATCGCTCCCAGTTCCAGCGTAGGTCAGAGAGTGACAGACCCGCAAAATTGACCATGTACCTTGGGCCATAGAGTGGCTAAAAAGAGCATTAGATCTCACAAAGAGAACATCAATCCTCGAAATTCTACGATTCCTCTCCAAATATATTGTCAGCTTAGATAGCAAATATCATATACCTTGGAATATTTATTTAGTTATTCATTTATTGTTTAGTTTCCTTTTGAAGTTCTTTTTTTGCCCTACATCAGCACTTAAAGAGAACCAAATAAAAGGTTCCAAATCACATTAGCAATATTCCTCGACGTTCATGTCACCATGAAACTTAATGATTTCCATTTGTCTTCAAAAGGTATTATCCTTCCACCCTTTGTATAGAGGAGAATAGAAACAATAAAACCATTAATTGTGTAATTGGACTATGAAACTACCTCCTAAACTTGTGCAGACCACCATGATTATCAAAGAATCTTCACAACCTAATTCCACCTCCAGCACTACTTGCACCAAGTAATCTTCCAAACAAGAAAATATGGGGCTACCAAAAATAAGATAACCATAAATGATCTGAAACAACTAAACTCACTAATTAAAGCATACTAAACAAATGAGGGTTTGAAGAAGCCAAGCATTCATCAGGTACAAAAACAGGATGCTGAATATGTGGATTTGAGTAAAAGCTTTATCAGTAGTATAGAACCTTATAATTTGAGCATGTGATTTACATTAAGCTAAATAAGAATAACACATTATTTTTTTCGGTAAAAGGAGTAACACATTATGACAGATGTATCTGATATGAAATGGACCTAGATGAAAAGCTGACAATTGAAGTGTGGAAACTTTCATGAAATTTTAAAGTACGAATACAAACTTTGGGTTTAAGCTTCCATAATCTCCATCCTGCAGCATCATTATTCCTCCATCTTCTTTTTTTTTTTTTTTAATTTCACCCACAATTTTATCTCCTTTATCTTCTCTACTATATCATCATTATCTCCTCCTTTTATGACCAACTATCATACGAGACCCCATGAAGTCAAGACTCCAACAACCATCATTTCTGCAGAGTTCCAATTTCTTTTATTTCTGGTAGATCTCAGCTCCGATAGGAAACCTCCTAATACTCTTCATCTACCAATATCATAGCAAGTTTCTATTCGGACTTCAAAGTATCAGTTTCAAACTTTTATCCCTTAAAGGAAAATTTCTCAAAGACAACGAGAGGAAAAAGACATGATTAGAAATAAACATATATTGTTTCAAATCTTCCGAAAACACTAATTTCCATTTGACTTTCAGAAGGAGCAATGTAGTCTCAACTTCCATGCAATAGAAAGAGATAACAAGATCCCAGCACAAAATCAAGAAGGAATTCTACTAAATTTGTAACTGAACTTTAGCAACCGCGGAACTAAAACAAACAAAGAAATACTAAAAATTCATGCATAAAAACAACGGTAACTTACCCAACTGGACTTGATTTTCTCAACAAACTCGTTGCTCTTAAATCCGTTGATACTGAAAATCTCCGAAGAGCTCCGCTTCTCTAACTCTCTCAACCTAGTCTTCAAAGCCCTAATGGGCTCCCCCCAATCCCCAAAATGCCCTTCTACCCCTTCCCTCTCCATCCTTCCCCTCCTCCTCCTCCTCCCCTTCCTAACTCTCTCGAACTCAACAATTGCATTTCTATCCTCCTCATCCACATCCACCTCCGCCACTATTGCCTTTCTTATAGCTGACAAATCTATCCCCAGGCTCGTCCTAGCCGGCCCCCACTTCTCTAACACCTTCCTGCTAATCTCCGGCGCCGAATACACCCTCCGAAACTCCGATATCTTCGGCTGCAGCCTCTTCACGAAGTCTATCTCTCCCGAGAACGAAGGCGAGGGCGAATTTACCGAGAAAGCCGACCTCGCCGAGTTGTTGATGAAGTTCTCGATTTCCCTATCAAACGACGAGGCGAGGTTCTTGAACGAGTTAGCTCGATCCCTCATCAACTGCAGGTCGGCATCCGCCGAGTCGCGGACTTCCCGCCACCCTTTCGACAGGAAAGAAAACGCATTCGTCGACAATTGCGACGACGTCGACGGCTGTTGACTGTCGTTCACCATAATTAGGGCTTTCAAATGCTAGTTAGAGCAAAATTGTATCGTTTGCTGGAGTTTTGGTACAGATTTAAGCAGAGAAGGGAAGAGGAGAAGACAGAGAGCGCTGAGATTTGAACGGTTAATATTCGAGAGGGACTTCTGCCCGATCTATATTATTCTGGAAACGGTGTTGCCATTTGGCAGACACGTAGGACGATGACGTGGTTAATGGAGATTGCGGCTGTGTTGACGTGGTAAATAGTCACGTGACGTGATGACATGGCTAACTATGATTCGGAAATGATGCAGAATATTCGGGTCGGTGGGCTCTAAAGATGCGAAGCGCGTGGGAACCAAGTGGAGAAGGCGTTTCTTGTGGGAATTTGCATCTTAAGACAACACGTGTGGGACAACGGTGGGTCCCACTAGTTCTTCTTCGGCCATCTCTTGTCACCAGTCAATTAGTCAGTCACCACCAATCGCCATGCTTGTGATGGAAGAATATTACAATAATCATAATACTTTTTTCGTGGAAAAAATTATTATTTTTTAAAATAAAATAGTAGCAATATATTGATTAAATGCGTAAAATTGCAGCATAATATAATATTATAATAATTTATATTAACAATAATTAAAAAAATTTGATTTAATAATTATAAATTTAAGTTTTCGAATCTTTTATAGAACAAAATTAATATTATGCATATTCGAAAAATACACACTGCGACAAGGAACAACAATTCAAGAATATGACGGGAACCACCTTGTTCCTGGCAGCATATGCGGTGCCTTTTTTGAAAAGATTGTGGGGATCTTGGTCTGAGCCAATGGAGAGAGTTAGGGTAGATAAGTGAAATCACAAAGACCAATTAAACGTCGCCGTATCACCATGTATATACTGAGAATGACATATACATATATACATATGTATGTATGTACAGATGTTTTAGGTGTTTGCGTGTATGACAACGTTGGCAATCCAATTTGATTGGAGTCCAGACATTTGGAAGGTTTACTGCCTCCCAAACAAGCTAGTGGCTGCAAAAATTACGATCCCACCATTAGATTGTCTCATTTGCTCCTCCCCTCATGGTGCACCATCTGTGAATAGTGTCCAACGAGCAGTCAATTCTTAAACCAACATCTGGATTTGAAGGGTTTTTATTACAATAAAATAAAATTAAATATAATAATTAATGAAAATTTAATAGTAATTTTTGAAAATAAAATTAAAAATGATTTGTACAGTGTATTTATTATAATAAATTAAAATTAATGAAAATTCCACGTGGGCTAAAAAGTGTCACGTATGCAGCTTTTGAGTCATAGCATTGGATTTTGTGGGCCGTATTGTTGGCCACCATATGGGCCTTTTAGGCCCATTTTACTTTTTGTCAAGAACAAAATGGGCCTAATCGGGTCCACTAAGATCCCAAACTGAAATTTAAACATGAACTGCCGTGTTCGGGTCGGATCATCAGTTACGAGCGGAACAAATTGACCGGAGGTCTATTTTCTGCCACGTGTACAGCCATGTCACACCTGTCTCTATCTTGCCTTAGCAACGAAGGGTTTTAGAAGAGGGCATAGTCGTAAATTCAAGCAACCACCATACCGCTCTGTCTCTGTGTCTTTGTTGCACGCTTTTCTACGGCTTTTTCAACCGAAAGAAATTCAATTCCAGCGCAAGCAAGTTCCCGTTTCGACAGAGAATATTTCAGAGCAGGAAGAAGAGGAAGAGAGAAAAACAGAGAAGATGGGTCTGCTGTCCAACAGGTATTTTCTCTAATTATCTCTTTCATTTTCATCTTTGAAATCTCTTTGGTTTTCACTTATGTGTTTGTTTCTTTTTTCTTATGTAATCTATCTTGCATTATCTTGTTGGATTTAATATTGACGAAAGTACGTCGTCGTATGTTGACAGAATTAATAAGGAGTGCCTGAAACCAGGGGATCATATTTACTCTTGGAGGACTGCTTATATCTATGCCCATCACGGTTTTTTTTTCCCCTTTCCCCTTACCTCTTTGCTGATTTTTTTTCCCTTTCTTCTTTTGGGTTATCCTTTAAATTTGCCTTCCGTGGATTAATTTACTTTTTTAATTACAGTTGTTTAAAACTGTTCTCTTTGTATTAGTGGTCTATTGTTCTGAATAATTGGGTTGATTGAAATAGACATTTGACAGTGAATTATATGTTATTGAACAATTATTTGTGTTGCTTATGTTCTGAATGTAAAAAAAACGTGATAGTCGAGTAGTCATTTTTTTCTTTTTGTAGAATGCAAGTATATCAAAATATAAGCATTAGAAGGACACTTATGATATTTCCTGCAAAGTCAGTGAGGTAGGAAAAATATAATTTTTGGATACCATTTTAGTCACATTTGAGAATGTGAAAGAGTTAACATTGATTCTTGAGTTTTAAGAATGAATAGTCAATATTTTCATGCAATGTGAGGTACTGAGATTGGGAACATGGTCACTATGCTAGACTCAGCCGCAGGTGGAGTATGTGAAAGTTTCCATTGTTTGTTTTTTTTAGGGATTTGTAGTTATTGTTCTTCTAAGCAAGGGATTTGAGTTTCTTGTTCTAGCATGGAGCTGGAGATAAGAGTAGGAATCGCTATTGGACTTTCTTTCTGTTTTTGAGAATCGATTGCTCACAGTTTGAGTCACTATTCTAAAAACTGGCAACTTAATCAAGTAGAATTGGTTTTTTTCCATTTGGCATAAATTGAAGTTTCTGATTATAGAAATCATTTGGTCACTTATGAGTTTCTTTTCAAGTAGGTTTCCCACTTCTGCTACTCATAAAGCCATGGCAATTCAGCCACAGTCTTTGTCATGGGTTTATCATATTGATCTGATTGGCTATTCAATAATTAAAATGGCGTTGTTATCCTGTGATTATTTTGCGTTATGCAGCTAGGAATGTCACTTTATTTTAGTACTTGTGTTTTAATGTCTGGATCCTTTTCGGGTTTTGTGCCTTGACATTTTTCTTTGGGAGCATCTTGCGCTATTCCAACATATTGAACACATCTTCTGTCTCTTAATTTTAATTTTTTTTTCGTGTGTGACTGGAACTAGGCATCTATGTTGGAAATGATACAGTCATCCACTTTACTAGACGGGGAGAAGAGGTAGGAACAGGGACTGTGCTGGACTTCCTCGTGGTAAGTTCAGGACCCGCCCGATCCCAAGTGCCTTGCACAACTTGCACTCCATCAGGAGCAACCCATGGAGTTCTCTCTTCGTGCCTGAACTGCTTCCTCGCAGGTGGCATTTTGTATCGTTTTGAGTATTCTGTCACTCCTGCTATCTTCCTTGCAAAAGCACGTGGAGGAACTTGCACTCTCGCTGTCTCGGACCAAGACGATCTAGTAGTTCACAGAGCAAAATACCTGCTGGAGAACGGCTTTGGGTGCTATAATGTATTCAAGAACAACTGTGAAGACTTTGCCATCTATTGCAAAACAGGGCTGCTTGTTCTGGATCAAGGAACAATGGGACAAAGTGGACAAGCTGTTTCCATAATTGGTGGACCTCTTGCTGCTGTTTTGTCAACACCATTGCGCCTTGTTACCACCAATGTCTACGGTATGGCGGCAACAGCTATTGGTGTTTATTGTGCTAGTCGATATGCTGCTGATATCGGCATGAGAAGAGATGTGGCAAAGGTGGCGGTGGAGGATCTGACAAGGAGGCTCACAACAGGCTTGCTCCAGGTGGTTGAACCCCAACTTTTGCCAGCAACCGCCAGTGACCCTTGTTTGTAAGGAATAATTGTGTAATTTTATTGTTTTTGTGGTCAATAATTTTTGGGAATATGATTCCCAAATATAAAGTACTTACAGGACAATACCTCAAAAGCACTGCTTTATCGGGTTACGTCTTGCTCGTCCTACCAATGAAACAGGAAAAAAAATATGCCGATGTCTATGTAAAACAAGGCTGGTTTGATGATTTGTTTGTGCACTAAACATTAAGGATATCTTGTTGATATATCACGCAATTATCCACAGGACATTTGAAACAGAGAGGGTTACGCTAAATTTCATTTGTAAGAAAATTTTATGCACTAAACAAAGAACAAAAATTTTTAAAATTCAATCAGCCACATGTTTGGAACACAGCGAGCAAATGCCAAGTCAGGCATTGCTTCAAATGCCCATATGTTATTAACATCTCCCTTATTACCTAAATTTTCATATTGCAAATACGAACTTTCTAGGTTCTAGTTCAAAGCCCTCCCTGTAAATAACTGAGATCACCATATTAACATACGAACTGAAGGGTACAAGTTCCTTTTATAACTCCATTACTCAATTCAAATATCTGTTCTTTAATTTATATCCCTCTTGTTTGGCCTCTGCTAACAAAAGACAAAACTGAAATATTTGTTTTCAGTGCAAGTATCCACATGAAAGAAGTTTAAATACAAAAAGCCCTGGAAAATTGTGAAATAATGAGACTACTTTCGGCCATTTTCTCACAACTTGGATAAAAAGCGTGCCAAAACTCCTACATTGTGTAAAAACCGGCATGTTTAGTTGTTTAGAGATCTCCTACACCAGCAAAACTGCATTTATACAACCATCATTCTCTGGGTTGTTTGTCACCTGAGCGTATTTTCCTGCACCCAACACAGCAAATGAGATCCGACATACAAACCAATAGGCAATAGGATCTTTATTTATTATGCAACAGACTCCTAGTGGACTCTCTTACCCCACACAACTTTCCCAGCCGGTGTGACCAAACCCAGCTCACTGACATTAACCTGGAATCAACAGGAAGGAAACAATTAGGAGACAAATTACAGCAATTATATATATATATACACATACACAACTCAAAAACCGATTATAATGTACCTCAATGATCGTTCCTTTAGTCATAACACCAAGAGAAGTATACATTGGACCATTAGGATTTTTCTTGACTCCAATGATTTCAAGATTGAACGTGCATTTAAGTTCAGGGTGTGTAACATGAGCCTTGGTAAAACGCAAACCAGAAGGATGGATGAAACGCTCATATTTTGGAGGCTTCTTAGTAAAACCAGGTCGTACAAATGTAGCATTAGTGACCATTCTCTTCCACTGCTTGGCTGTAAAGATTAAAAACAAAAGGATATCATCAGATGCATTACCAGAAAACCTGTTCTAGCAACCTATATTAAGACCCTTCCATATTAGGTAATTGGACCACAACAATCTATATTTTTCTTCCAGAAGTACATAATATACCATTCTCGTACAAAATCTATACATGGCATTACTTATGGATTCAATTTTAATTGCCATTTCAAACATGTGCAAGCCACATGGCGACCAAAATCATACTCATAAGTCAGCATCAATCAACTTGATTTTCCATGTATCAAAATTTTTCATGGTATCAGGAAACCCATATATAACAAAATAGATAATAAGTTAAAACATGTTATTTTCAGCTTGTCAGATAACAATGTTAAAGAAAAAAGAATACTTCTTCGTTTCCCGGTCCTGATAACTTTAAACATTTCATCTTCTGCAACAGGCCTGACCTGCAGATAAGAATAAGTAAAACAAATGAAAAATAGAGTTATACTATGTTATAGTTTTGTCATGAGAAAGAGTCATGCGTGCAAGCAAGCTTATTATTTCTAGATCACTCACCATTCAAGCACAAAAAATATTTTTAAATGGGAAAAAAGAGTGAAAGTAAAGCCAGCGTGCAAGATCAAATGGGATAAAAAAAACCAATGATCAGGACAATCACACGGCTTGGAGCTATTACACTTAAAAGGAACTAATAATATCCCCAGAAAGAAACCATATTAATTTGCGGTGTACATAATCAAAATTCTCTTCAACATCATATATGCATTCAACAGATGCAAAAAAGTTCCCTCCATATCACCATTCAAGTTTTAAAAAACATATAATCCACTTTTAACAAATAAGATATGGCTCTTCTGAGACAATTTTATTTCATTGACAAAATACAATGTTTTGTTTGGTCGATAAATATTTAGATACTTGTTCTTTCTTTTGGTAAATATATTGTTTGTTCTTTTTTCTTGAAAATATTAAGTTCAAATTTTTAGCTCAAACAATAAAAGTAGTATAAAATGCATGAATATGTTAGTTATATTACCCTAATGACTAACAGAGTTTCACAGTGTGGCTTTTCTTTTTTCAAATAGAAGGACCTAGTTTCATGCAAGTTATTCCCCAATGATTTTGTCCACTAAATAGCAATATAAATTATACATGTGAAAGACCCAGTTGTCACTCCTTTCAATAACCTGATTTTTACAGTAAAAGATAGAGAAAGAGTAGTTACACCCATATCTCTTCTATATAGTGACTGCGACTGTCAACAATAAATAGACATTCACAGAATGTGATGCAAGTCTGTGCATTACTACAAAATTTGACAT